GTGTTCTGAGTTTAGACCTCTAGATGGCAGGATTGCTATTTCACCTCTGCACTCATCTGAATTTCGATAATAGTCTGATGGAAGGCACTGGGACATGAAACAGAAAAAAACACATGTTAAATGATACAACTGATGATGTGCAGTAATGTGCGTGCTGGCTCACTATCAGGGCTTACAGGGACACTTGATGGAGCAGAGGCTTCATGAATGAAATTTGTTTTTCCATTTTGAAAAGTCAAAATATCTACTGTGAAAAAGGTCTATTCCACCATTAACCCCAAAGTAAATCTACCTGCCCTGTAATTTACTACAAGCAGGTTATTATAAACAGCTGTCACAAGGTAGGTGAATCTGTGACTACTGCACAGCACATACAAATTTAAATGGAGGGTGCTGCCTAATTTTACAATTATTCACTTGAATTGCTTTTTATTTTGACCAATTTTTATGACCCAACATGGCTACTGTATATGATGTGAAGATGTTTGTGTGAGCTCCTCAAACCAAATTCCAATCAGCTGACTGCAATGTGAAGCCAAGCAGTGCTTTTAATGTGGATTCTCACCCTGTGATCCAAGGTTAACCTCAAGGTAGTTAGTTACGTTCACCTGACCAGGCCTAAAACTACACAGTGTAATGACATGTTGTCTTACACTTATTTTAGCTTCATGAACAATCCCATTATTTTCAGTGGCTCTTTGGTAGAAAAGAAGGGGTCTGCGTCCTACTTGAGAGCCGTTCCTTCTATTCTTCCTGCCCAAACTTCACTGCCTGCACTAAATGCACTCCACTAATAGAATGAGAAGGAGAGAGCAGCAGTGATCAAGAGAGCTAGAGAGTGAATGAAGAGAGTGGCCTTAATGAGACCAAAGCAGTGAATCAGAGGATTAAAACATATTTGCTGTTGACTGTTTCACTGTGGCTATGTTCTAAAGCACAAATAAACCCACAAATCCACACAACCCTGTGGGAAGGATTTTATGTGAATGCAGCCAAAGCACAGGTTTCATCTTCCTGTCTGTTCTGCTGTGGCCTCTATGCCCAGCACCTTGTAGGTACTGTGTGAGTGTGTGTGTGTCGTGTAGCCCTGCCCTCAGTCACGCAGACAGAAGAATAGACCTGAAACTGGATGTACTGTATGTCAGCACTTAAACTAGACCACGGACATGTTAAAAAAAGAAGACTGAACAACTGTAGCTTCTCAGAAAAGAACGAAGCCTTAAGATGCAGCTCTGTTCAAACAGCTGTCATTCCCATCACTACCATCTCAGCAACAATGAAGATAGATGAGAATCAAGAAAACATTCTAAGAAGCATTTATTGGCTTTAATGTACAACAAAAAAGGATTAAAATATAAAATGTTGTAAAACTATCAGAGCTCCAGTGTTTTTAAAGTGTTAGCTCAGCCGGAGGGACACACAAATCTCTACTAAAACCAGCTGGATAAACCCAAACACACAGGATGGTTAGAAGTGCTGATCATCAGCTTTAGGCGGAAATATTTCTTATTTGCATCTGACAAAATCTGAATATCAAACAGTACAAAAAGTAAGTCAAGATGTTGAACTTTAGAACATGAGGGAAAGTGATTTTTGTGCCATTCTCATTTTTGTGGAGGAAGAAATCCCGACTGGTCCATCACTAGCTGCCTGACTTGATCAAGCTGCCAAAGTAAGCAGTCACAGTCTTCAGCTTGTTGTTGAGGAAGTTCTGCTCCACCTCCACCTTCCCACCTGGACCAGCCAGGGAGGCGATCTGTGGACAGATGGACATACAGTACATGTAATGTCTGGATCCTGAATCTCAAATCATCAGGAAGTTTTTTTGATTGATTTTGATTCAATTGCAGTTTTCTGATGGCATGAATTTAATCTTGTATCTTATCCTCTGCCTCCTCCACGATATCACCAGTACAGTGTACAGTATGTGTCAGTACCAAGTGAAACCAGACTGCTCACAGTCTGATACACATAACCACCCACTGTCAACTTTGGTAAAATAATGTCTTACACTGTGAGAGAACAGATGGTGCTGATTGGCTCTGAACTGCACTAGGTCCTTGACCCCAGGGTATCTGCTCACAGGTCTCGTTTAAATCATTGTGTTAGTGTTCTTGTGTAATAACTGTTCACCACTTATGTACCCACACATAAAGATAATGAATATACAGACCTGATCCATGTCCGCATTGCGAGGCAAGAAGTACACTATATTGTCTGAAATCAGTTTGGCCAGGCGGAAAATCTCAAATGTGGCTACTGTTAAGGATAAAAACCAATTTTATAAAAACACAGTTCATGTTTTAAAAAACATTTCTATTTTAAACTGCAGTTTGAACTAAATGGAGAGCATATTGAGAAGCTTATATTTCTTGTGTTCAGAGCCGACAGTCTGTCCCGGTGACAGTGCTACAGGACAGTGTCCAACATAAAAAGTGTGCAGTCAACATTGCCAATCTGCCCTGTCTTTGGCACAAGTGGGAAGTTTGCCCTCATGAACCTGCTAAAGGAAAAGTCAGGGTGTCACCCGAAACATTAAGATTTATCATCAGGAGCAGTGGTGGAATGAAACCTAGTACATTTGCTCAGGTTCTATACTTAAGTACAAATTTCAGACATTTGAACTTTACTCGTCATGTTGCCTGAAATTTCTACTCTGCTACATTTCAGAGAGAAATATTCTACTTCTTATTCCACTACAATTATCGGACAGCTTTCGTTACTATTTACTTTACAAATTAAGATTGTTGTCATTTTGCCAAACATTTCTTGGAAACAGTGTTTCAAACGTACGGATTAGCTGCTTTTCCTTTTATTAAGTTTAATCATTGTATTTATTTTGTTGTTCATCTACTGGTTAGATAGCATCAATAGTTTGCGAAGAAATAAATGATTAGTTGCTGCCTTAAATAAAATAGTTAACATTAGCTCCAGCTTAACTAAGTACAACAGGAAAATGCTGCTACGGCTACGGTCACAGCATCCCCCTGCTTCTGCAGCAAAAGATATCCATCAGGCTCCATCATGGTCTTGATGTCAAACACCTCAGCGGTCAGGTAGTCTGGTCCTCCCCATGGTGGTGACAGGAAGACCACATCGCCACGGAGACGGGATGCCAGCTGAAGAAAGTCTCCTTGCAGGAAGTCAATTCGGTCAGCCACGCCGTAAACCATAGCATTGTGCCGTGCCAGTTCCAGCCGCACCGGGTCGATATCAATGGCCAGAACTGAAAGTGGAACACAGAACGGGAACAAAGAAGGACAAACTGAGACACTGAGGACTCACTCTTTGCCTCGTTGGAACACTAGTATAGGGACTATAATACTTCTAGTCCAACATTAGGACTCAGTGAACAGTAAATCACAGGGTTTAAATATAAACCTGGGGGCAGTTCAAAGGCCTGAACATTCTAAGTCGACGGTCAAGCTATTTGGTGGTCAAAGGTAACAGTGGTCTCATGTCTGCCCCCTTCATAATATAATCTAGTTTGAGCGTGTTTTCTTATTATCGTTACCAGTCAGTACCCAATTCCTGAACTCCTACCTGAGCCCAGCTACTGTATGTCTAAACCATTAACCTCCCTTTCCTAAACTGTTCATGTAGACAAAATGGCACAGATGAAAAAGATTTCTGCCCTGATATTACAAGCTGATATATGTGAATGGAAGTGTAAGAACACACATGCACACACATTCACTTACCTCTCATTCCAGTGAGGGCAAACTGGATGGTGTTTCCTCCCACACCACAGAAGGCGTCTATGACCAGCTGAGAGTCAGAGAAGCTGTGTTCCACCCTGACAGCAATGTGCTCAGCAATCCTCTCTGGTGTCACAGAGAACCAGCCCTCTGAAACACACAGCACTGTTAGTGATGTGTGTGTAAGACTATGTGTTAAAGCACTTCCTGTTTTATCACGTTGGCTAAATTTAATCTTTGTTTTTGCTTAATTCAGTATTTATAGTGGACAGATTTCCTAGTCCACTATTTAGTATTTACTATATAGTCCACACATTTCTGCATTAAAATCAGGGATCCTACCATGCTGAGAGACGAGTAGCTGTCACCTAAACTGAACAAGTTTCAGTGCGTAAAGGCCGAGGGCTGAGCCTCAGTTAGATGACCGAGCTCTCTGATCCCTCAGATGGTGCTGCATCAAGAATTGTCACTCTTCTATAAGTGATATAACCACATGGGCTCAGGATGACTTTGGCTCATCTGTGTCAGGCACTGCAATATGTAGTTACATCCATAAATGCTGCTTAAAACTGTACTGTGCCAAAAGGAAGCCCTATGTTAACTGTGTCCAGAAGCTCTGGGCTCAGAGGCATCTGGGATGGACCATCACACAGTGGAAACGTGTACTGTGGTCAGATGAATCAGTGTTTCAGGTCTTTATGGAAGGAATGGACCCCGTGTGCTCTGGACCACAGACAAAAAGGACCATCCAGACCAGTAACAAGTCCAAAAGCCAGGATCTGTCATGGTCTGGGGTTGGGTCAGTGCCCTGGGCAAAGGGAACTTTGTGTTTTACGCCGGATGCTCTTCCTGACGCAACCCTGATTCAAACCCGGGCCACAGCGGCGAGAGCGCTGCGCCTTAACCACTAGCCTACCAGGGACGGCTCCATTAATGATGAACAATACACAGAGATTTTGGAGCAACATATGCTGCCTTCAAGACGACATCTTTTCCAGGGACTTCCATGCATATTTCAACAAGACAATGCAAAACCTCATCCTGCCACATTACCAAGGCCTGGCTGTGGAGGAAAAGGCTGTGAGTGCTGGACTGGCCTGTCTGCAGTCCCCACCTGTCCCCAGTAGAGAACATGTGTGGAGCATTTTGAAATGCAAACAGCATCAACAAAGACCCAGGACTGCTGAGCACCTTAAGACTTGTTTGCAGGAAGAATGGGACAAAATGACACCTGACACACTTTATCATTTGGTGTCCTCAGACCCTAAACGTCTTTTAAGTTTTGTGAAAAGGGACTGTACCAATTGTTTTTAGTACGTGTTGCAGGCATCGGGATTGAAGTGAGGGTTTATTTTGAACAAAGAATAAAGCTGATGAGGTATCACACTAAATAATGTGCTGCTACACGTACATGCAGAGTATAGACTGACCTCGGTCCAGCTTGATCCCTTCATCGAAGCGAGAGAAGAGTCTGTAGCGTTGTGCCCAGTATTTAGCCAGCTCTGGTTCAGCTGCCATCTCTTCTGGGAGCTGCTGCTTCCTGCTTTGCTTTCTCTTCTGCATCTTTGGCTTTACTCCATATTTCCCATCCAACTCTACATACATTCACATTTATTATTAGACTGCACCATTGTCCCAGGATTGTCCTACTTTTCTACAAACACAAACATATGCTCTGACAATTGCGATGCTTACCACTGTTTCTTTCAGGTGTATCAGCCAGGAGAAAGTCAGGAATTTCTAGGCATCTTAACTGTCTGCCAACCTGCTCTTCTTCCTCCTCCTCCTCCTCCTCCCTCTCACTATGCACAGAGCTGAAGAAGGTGCTGGACTGCGTGCCCTTCCTCCTCTCTGCATCTAAACTGGACACAGAGGTAGAACTCTCTTCCTCCAAACCCTCTTTGTTTCCTTTCTCAGTACTTTTCATCTCTATCCTCCTCCTCTTCTCCTCTTCTTCTGTCTCTTCTTGCAGAAATGGAGGCTTGTCCTCAGGTTCCTGTGTATTTCCTACTCCCATTTCACCCCCATCACATGGACTCAAATGTGTTTCACTCTGGTTCTGTTTAAGGAAGTTTTTGACCTGTGAAACAAACAGTCTTCATATGATTAGTGTCCATTCTGCTACTTTCATTTTCTGTCACCGATAATCCATAAAGGTGCTTTAATCTACTTCCAGCTGCCATGCTTTTCACTGGCATCTCAACACAACCCAGAAGCAAGTTCAAATGCTCTGATGTGATTGAGAAAATCAAGTTTAACCGAGCTGACATATGTCACAAAAATTTGTAGTGTTATACTGTGTAGTTTGCAATAATGACTTTGCATCTTGGCAGCCATTTTATGCATGTTTCATCCAAAAGGGTTGTTTTACCAATATACTGAGTCACATTAAAGGCAGTTCAGATCCCTTTTCACTGTATGTCCTTATGTCCCTCAGGCGTGAAATACCCAGCATGGCAGCTCAGATGTGTCCAAACAGATTACTTTACCAACTATCAGTCCATTTCCTGCATTCAAACCCTGCCGCCCCCAGTCTGACAGAGAGCATAAGCCCTTTGACTGTTTACAGGCAGTACCTTGTAGAGGGAGGTGCTGGTCTGTGGCTGCAAGTCTCCATGCATCTCTGAGAACCTGGTGTGTTTGCTGATGCTGCGGACGGCTCTCTTAGTCCACCTCCGCCTCTGACACTTCGGACCAGCCCCGCCTTTAAAGCTTAACACACTGTCAAACCTGAGACACAAACACAAATACACCCTCATTCAGACAGACAGTTGCTGTGAAACAGCTGCTCCTATATGTGTACAGTACACAGCATAACACTTCACATACATGCAAGTTACTTTCTGTAATATGTATGTGATGCATACCAAAGGGTAAAATATAAATCCACCTCCTTAAATTCTCAGGTATCGCTTTCATTTTTACATATCCACTTAGCTGCCAGTTTATAAAGTCCACCTACCACAACGCAGTTCAATCCAAAACTCTGGAACAAACTTAAAAAGGTTCAATTAGTGAGTTGAACTTGGCAGCTAGGCTGTGGATTTTATAAAGCATGACACGAGTGCTGTCTGCCCTCTGCTGGCCTAAAAGAAAATTGCAGACAAGCTATAAGAATATAGCTTTCAGGGGGAAGAGGGCTTATGGGGGGTGGCTGTGGCTCAGGAGGCGGTTCAATACCCGGCTTGTCCAGTCCACATGTTGAAGTGTCCCTGAGCAAGACACTGAACCCCCAGTTGCTCCTGGTGATGTCACCGGTGTGTGAGCACTTGAGAGTGTGAATGGGTGAATGTTCAAATAGCATGAAAGCGCTTTGAGCGTGCTGCAATGCATAGAAAAGCGCTGTACGAGTATAAGACCATTTACCAAAAAGGTATTCACAAGAGAGGTGGTTTCAGAGTTGTTATTTTTGCAAATAAAATTAGATCAAGATTATCTCCAGGACAAAGCCAAATACTGGAGTCATGTTACTGCTGCTACTGGAGAAACACTGGGGAAATGCTTATTGAATGAACAATTCTAATTAGGACTGTGAAGAGAAATGATGAAAAAGGTTTCATGCTGTGTTTGCATCTCTGCAGCCAAAACAGATGCTCAGTTTGTGTGAACTGTTTCAGAGAGGCGTTCATTCAACTGAGGCTGTGGGTTGTGCTACTGTTGAACCGTGCTGCATTATACAGAGGGGTTCTATTATTCAGCGTACTCCCACTGGTATAAATGGGGTGGGAAGAGAATTAGACACGCCTCCTGGTATGTTTGGCTAGAAAAAGCATTTTCCTATCACTTGTAGAGATGCTGCTGACATCACATGCCGTGAAGTGAAAACATTCCTGACGCATTAGTCACTGTGCGGTCCTTTAAAAAGCATCACTGAACATGAGGAAACTGCATGAGTGATGTCTTCATGTCGAAGCATATGAACCATGTCCACTACATGGGGATTAACTACATCAACCTCTAGAAGTGATCCACTGCCACACCAGCAGGCAGGTGAGCTAAATGTCTCAAAACCCAGAGAAGAGAGATGTTGTCCCTGCTTCTGTTCAGACAGAAGCAGGTGTGCAGTAGTACAGTAAATAAATCCGCTCAAATATAGTCACAAAGCATCTGTTACCACATCTCAGTGAGCTGCAGACCAGTACTCAACATGATGTGAAATACACACAATCTATAAAAACAACTAAGACGGACGAAGAGCGAGCTGAAACAAAGTGGCAGCATGGACAGAATGGGCAGATTAGACTGACCGAGGCTCCGGGTTGTGTCTGAGTCCCAGTTTCCTCCAAGCTTCCTCAGGTGTCAGATGTGGGCTCTCCTCCACATCCAGCTCATGACTGCAGACAAACAGGAAATGCTGCATCAAAATTTGAATGAGACTACTATTTTACCGTCTCTTGCCCAATGGATGTTTATTTTCTTGTTTTTAAAAATTTCAAACATTTCCTGCTTCCTGTGAGACTTCAAACTCAATTTCTACACCAGAAAAGTAAGGATCTCATGGAAATGTGGAAGCTTTAGAAGCATCTGGGTGCTAGAGCTCCTTCAGTTCAACATCTGATGGCACATTAAAGCCACTGGTGCAGGTATTCTCATGAAAACCACTGTGCTAAGATGTTTTTTAAACATTTGTCCAGGGACATGCTTGTTGCCTAGTGTCAAGCTAAATTAAATGACTATGGTAACGTCTGAAAGTGTAAACAGCCATATTCCACACAGGACCACACTGCCTGGCTCTAAACCTGGCTGACTGATTCAAACGTTTAGGCTTTGAAGAAGATTCCTAGAACACCAATTTGGATATTGTCAGAAAGAGGGATTTTAAACCTTTGTAGACCAGTTTGCACCAAACTGAGCATTCCTATAATCATGCTTGGTGTGAGAGCTGTGAGGAAATCAGAGACCAAGTGGCCTATCACATCACCGAGCTAATAAAGATAAGGACAATCTGGAGCGCCGGTGGTGCAGGGGGCCAAGTTGATGGGATGTTACTGCACAGAGGATAATTTAAAATTCTAACCAGTTGAAATTAATTTTCAAAAACCTGTATCTGACCAGAGGAGGTGACTGCGTGGAAACCTGTTTTCCATAAAACGTAGCTCAGACCTTGATACTGGCTACACACCCAGTAGAGCCTCACCTGCGCTTGAATTTAGCAGGCCTTCCGCCCGGGGGTTTGTCATCTTCCTCATCGTCGTCTCCATTTGACGTCTTTTCACACGGCCAATACTGTCCGCCAGGGCTGCCAGCAGCCTGCTGGGACTCTGACTCAAAACATACAAGATATGAACTGGCACAGCAAAGTCACAATGAAACATACAAGCGTCAGCAGCTTTGGTTCAGACCTGATATATTTTACACTGAGACACAAATTAGTGACCCAACAAATATTGTCAGCAGACACCCCTCTCTTAATCTTGTCCTCAATAAAGAGCATTTTTACCACTACATCTATATTTACATCTATTCATTCATTTTACTAATTTTCATATCAAAGATAGAAAATTTTAATAAAACGACAATAACATTTTGTGTTTAAATATGAGACAAAGCCGTCATCAAGACAATGAAGCGAAGCTTGCGGCACAGCGACAGTGACACACAGAGAAACACACACACACACACACAGTTACTACCTGTCTGCTGGGCTGTGTTCTGCTGTGAGGAGGAGGCGGGTGTCTTAGGGTCACCCCCACCATCAGAAGGCTCATCAGGGCCACAGAACTGCTCTCTGCTCTCAGCCACACTCAGACGCTCAGCCTCTAGTGTGCAGCTCTGTCCAAACGCATCATTCAAATCCTCCACGTCATCATGGGGATCCTTCAGTTCTTCTCCTCTCCACTGGTTCTCAGCTCCAGCCTGTCCATCCCTTCCTTCCTCTGACTGTGTCTCCATCACACCTGCTGCTGCTTCTCCACTGGTTCTCCCACTGCACTCTAAGTGGTCAGTGGTCCAGCCCTGTGCTGCCCAGTATGAGTACTGCTCCCAGAAGGAGTAGTAGGTGTCTGCAGCATGTTTATCCCAGACAGCCTTTGTGTCTGGGTCGTCCCAAGGAGCAATCGCTGATCCCGGATCTTCTGCAGAGAGCAGCTCACTCTCTGGGTGTTTCTCCAGCCAGCTGCTCCACAGCAGCACTTCACCGTGGTGTGCTTCAGGACACACAGAGGAGATGGAGAAAAAATGGAAAAGCAGTATTTAAGCTTTGAGTAACTGAATCTTGAATTAAGATTATTTGTCAAACTACTGCTCACTAGGTGTAGAAAAACACAGAAACGAAACAAAAGAATGTATTAAACTCAGCCCTTTATTTAGACTTGACAGAAACATGTAAACCTGTCAGAACATTAATGTCATGATGATGATACGATAATGATGGTAATGTGCACGTCTAAAGGGGCTTTAGGGTCTTACGGGATGCAGAACAAGACACTGTATTAGCTATATGAGTGAACTGATTATTAGAGAAGGTCATTTTACCTTGGCATTAAATTAACTTTAGATTCTCTTGTTAAATCTCCAAATCTGATGTAGTCCCACGAGGTGGGTTCAGTGTAACTGTACAGCTTAAAATGTGTGTACTTCACTGTAACCTCCTACTTACCCCAGTACATCTCCCAGCCAGCATCTTGGATCCCTTCTGTTCCTCCTTCCAGTGGATCACACACATCCTTCTCACCAACTAGGTTAATCACATGGCACCGTCAAATGACATCACAACACTGAACACAATAATAATGATGATAATAATAATAATAATAACAACCTTTGGTATCAACCTGTGGTTGTCTCTCTTCTTCCTCCTCTTCAGCTGCTTCTTCCCAGTATGGGGCAGGCTTCCTGTTAAACTTCTCCCCCTGTCACGTGACCACAGCAAACAAACTTTTGGTTCATGTCATTATTGCAGAAACGCACATTAAAGAGCATAACAGTACAGAGACATGGTGCTGAAGGGACCGTCCAGCAGCCGGACTAGCATACCCCTCTCCTCTGCTCAGACGAGCTGGCAAAGGCCAAAGGCAGACCCATGCTGGCCATCAGCTGAGCCTCCTCATTCAGTACCTCCTCCTCAGCCTCCTCTTCGGCTTCCCAGTTTGAGGTGAGGGAAAAAATGTGAAATGTCAGCATCATTTGATTTCACCTCCAACCAAACCCTGCCACCCTGTGTGTGTGTGTTGACCTTACATTTTCAATGTGGAAATCCTGAAATCAGCTCTACACTGTAAGATCATTTCTAACTAGTCATTCCCAGCGCAGGATGACATGGGAGAACATTCAGTAGCTACCTTGGACTGTAGTGTCTGCTAGGTCGAGGGACAGCAACCTGTTATCGGACCGATACAGCTCTCGATCCCTGGACAAACGAAGGGAAACACAAAAAAGATTAAGACCAAAAACTTCACCTGTTCCGACTTCATTCTGCAGGACTACTGTAGAGTAAGAGAGATGAGGGGCTCACTGTACGAAGGCTCTGGAGCAGAGGCAGCGGATCCTCTGCTCGTCAGACCAATGTCTCCTGCTGA